GGAGGAGTGCCGACGGCGCTCCGCAGCGCGGCCCTCGTTCCGGCGAAGCCCTCGCCGATGCTCCGGCCCCGCAGCGGGTGGTAGACCTCGACGGTGCCTCCGAAGCCAGGGATCACTCTCCCGAGGAGGCTCAGCAGGTAGTGCAGCAGCGGGATGACCACCAAGCCGATCAGTATGCAGACGCCGCTGGGGACCCCGGCGCCGCAGGGCCAGAAGCCGAGGAGGATGGCCGCCAGCCCGCTGAAGAGCGCATAGGGGATCTGCGTCTTCGCGTGGTCCATCAGGGAGACCTGACAGGATGCCGCCGAGAGAATGGTGGTGTCGCTCACGGGGGAGCAGTGGTCGCCCCACACCGCTCCGCCCAATACTGCCGACATGGTGGTGACCAAAAGGTCGACATTCCTGCTCCCCCCGACAGCCTCTGCCAACGGAATCACAGCGGGCATGAACACCGTCATCGTGCCCCAGGAGGTGCCTGTGGCCAAGGAGAAGATGGCGCAGAGGATAAACACGAGCATTGGCAACTCGGCTTCCGACACGCTGTCCCCGAGCAGGTCCACCAGGTAGACGCCGAGCTGCAAGTCCTTGACCGTCTGGGCGTACGTGAACGCCAGCAGGAGCGCCACCGCCGCCTTGAAGTATAGGATGCTGCCGTTCAGGGCCGCGTCGATCGACTCGGCGGGCCGCAGCAAACACCCACCCCAGGCCTTATCGTACTGGCACATGTAGAAGACAATCTGGAAGCATATGACTGTCGCCGCGGTCCAGTGAAGCACCGGGAATGCCTCCGCGCAGCCGATGATGTCCCTAGCGGACCCGCCCCAGCCCGCCCCGCCGTCGCAGCCGACCTCCGCGCCGTGGTAGAAGAGCAGCGGTATAAAGAGCACCACAAAGATGAAGAACGGCAACGCCGCGTTCACCATGCGACACGGTATACCTCTGGGCAGCGGACGGGTCGACAAATACCGATAGTCATCGCCACCCTCCAGACTCCGGGGCGAACACCCACCCTCGGCGACGAAGGTTCTCCTGGCCGGGCAGCCCCCACGGGCGAGAACGAGGGCCGGGTACCCGCGCCCCCAAAAGCGAGAACGAGGGAGGGGCACCCGTTATAGGCGCGTGCACCCTGCGATCGGGCATCGTGGGAAACATCCGTTTGCATCCTCGAGGGCGCTGAGATCTGGACACTGCCCGAACTGCCCTCGAAAAACCAGCCTCGCACTGAAAAGCATCCTGTCGCTTCGAACTCTTGCTCGTCTTGATCTCGAGAATTACAGTGCGAGCGCGGCCGCAAGAACCCCCCGCAAGAAACCCAACCCTGAAAACCCGCGCGCGAGGTGCACCAGAGGGGAAACCCGGAGCACCCTGAACGCACCAGCCCCTTCAACGGCCGCGGGAAGTCGCCGCGCGGCGCGCGGAGCGACGAAACCTGGGATATACCCGAACGAAAAGCACATGGCTTCTTGAGGCGCGCCCCCACTGCAGGGCAGACGTGCTCTTCTCTCGGGTCGGGCGAAAGGGGGGGACAGCAAAGGGGGGGTTTGAGAATCAGCTCATGTAGCTGATTTTCCCGGCGCTGGAGGCGGCCATGTATCGAGGACTGGGCCCCTCGGTGAGGCCGAAACCAGCTGCATGCAGCAAATTTCGTACCCCCCCCCTTTCCCAATCCCCTCCCTTTCGTCTGGCCCGAGAAGAGAACAGGTGAGCGAGGATCAAAAACGGGTCCTGCGCGAGATGGCACGGCGGCCTTACGCCGCAGCTCACGCGTGCCAGGGTTAGGCCTTACGCCGCAGACGTGCCTGGCTTAGGGCAGAGGTTTCTTGATGCGCGCCCCCACTGCAGGGCACAGGGCTTCTTGACTCTCCCCCCGCTGCCTGGCTTGATCCCGATCATGGCGAACGTCTCCGTCTGCACCTGGGTGTAGTACGGCGGCGGCTCCTCGGGCGCCTCCCCGGCGGCCGAGCCCGCCGCGGCCACGCCCCGCCCCTGGCGCGCGCGCCGCTCCGCCGCGTGCATCGGGCCCCAGTCGCGGCCCGAGAGGATGGTGTTCGCCACGAAGATGAGCATGAACCAGGAGTAGAAGCGCCTGGGTATCGACATGAGGAAGAGGAAGTATGCTGGCCGCGCGCAGGATTGGGGGGCGGAGGGGAGGGGGGGGAGGGCTTCTCATCAGGCGCGGGCCTCATCTAGAGATGTTGGTGCCTGCACCTTCGAAGCAACAGGCTCCTTCTAGGAAGCCTTCCCCCCTCCCCACCTACCCCCTTGTGCGCGCCGACAGGTATGGGCTCTGCTCCGTGTAGGGGTCCCGCATGGCCTCCACGCCGATCTGGATCTGAGCCACCTCGTGGGCGATCCACGTGCTCAGCGGCATCACCCCCGCCACCGGCGACGCGGTGCAGTCGACGAGGAAGGACAGTTTCTCGCGCGAGACGCGCATGGTGTCGGTGACCGATCTCAGGGAGAATCCCACGATGATAGTGTTGGCGTAGTCGTCCATGAAGACGGCGAAGCCCATGAGAAAGACAACTGCCTGCCCGAAGAACGAGTCGACCACGTACTGCGCCGCTGCCTGCCCAAGGCCCTTGATGCCACCAGACCTGGCAGCCAGTCCCCCGATGGCACCGATCAACAGCATGGCCAGCAGAATCTGAGAGAATCCACCCGATAACTGAGCAGTGAGCCCATTATGGAAATATCCTGTCCAAGCGTCCCACACATTTCGCTTCAAAATCAACGTCCCAACGAACCCGCCCAAGCCGAGCGAGAAATACATCTCCCGGGTGAGCGGCGTCCTCAGAAGCCCGGCCAGGCTGATCCACCGCACGATCCTGATCTTGATCTGGCGCCAAGGCGCGGAATAACGTGCTTAGGACGGCCCGATCACCCGCCCCGATCCCGAGAGACCGGCGCATCGGCTGGATCAGCGGCCTGATACATGCCCGATCGACGCATCAGGATATTCTAAGGTGGCGTCACGACGAGCACCACCAGCAAGGGGCAGATGCAAACGTGCCTACTGTAAACGTACTGGGTGTGCTCAACAGACAAAGCGCCGCAGTGGCCAGAAGAATCCCACCAACCCTCTGGGCAGAGGTGGTTTGCGGCGGTTCCTCTTCCATCTGCCTTCTTCACCTTCGTCTCGGCTAGAAGGCAAACATCATTGACTTTGCTCAGGCGTTAGGCCATTTTTGGCATCCCAGGATGGGGGGGGGTAATTGCGGACACCTCTTCTTTGACGATCTCCTCCAAGATGGCCCCCAAGGCTCCCAAGAGTGTCCCAAGAGGGCCCCACGATGCGACCAGAAGGCACCAAGCAGCACCCAAGAGGCCCCCACGAGGCTCTCAAGAGACCCCAAAAGGCTTCCCCGAGGCACCCAAGACGCTCCAAGAGGCCACCGGGACCGCTAAGAGGCCCCCAAGACGTCCCAAGATGACTCCAAGAAGCTCTCAAGAGACATCCGAAGAGACGCTATGAGGCATCAGAGAGGCCTCTGGCCTTTCTGCTCGCCCTCCTCCTCCTCCTCCTCCTTCTCCTCCCCCTCGTTAAAATTCGCTTCTTCCTTCTCCTCCCTCTTCCCTCACCCCCCTGCCCCTCCCCTTCCTCCTCCTCCTCCTTCTCCTCCTCCTCCTCATTCTCAGGGGTACAACGGCTTGCCCAGCCCTTCATTCCACTGCATGCCCTTCCACATCCCTGATCGGGGCCACGCGCCCGGGCATCGTGTCTGGATGGGCCAGTAGGGGTCACGCGAAGCGTCTAGAATCTTCGATGCTCACTCGGACGGTCTGCTCCTTGAACGCTCCCAGGAACTTGATCCTCACGGACACATCGCCCGTCTCGTTCATCAGAACTTGGCGTTCGCATTCAACGTCCCCGCCAACCGACACCACAAACGAATCCAGCGCGCCAGGTGACGTAGTAGAGCAAGTAGAATTCTCATCGCTCCACTCCAATGGAACTGATATGGCAAAGTAGACGTTGTCGATCAAGACATCGGGAACACCTTGAAATGGAAGCGCTTCCCCTTTCGCGGCAGCCGACAAAACACGCAAACTGAGCACCCTAGGTGGCATTATCTGGGACTGGACTGGAGCTTTGCGAAAGCTCTTGCATTCAGCCTGCAGACCAAAGTATTTCCTCTTTCCTCTTTCCTCCTCCAACCTCTCTCTCTTCCCTCCTTTCTCTTTATTTTCCCTCCTCCTCCAACCTCTCTCTTTCCCTCTTCTCTCTTTCCTCCTCCAACCTCCAACCCTCTTTTCTCTCTCCTCCCCCCTTCCTCCTCCAACCTCTCTCTCTTCCCTCATGCCCTATGCCTCCCCCCCCCGCTTTCTTTCCCTCCCCACCCCACTCCTCCTTCCATTCCTCCCTCCCCTCCCTCCACCTGATTTCTCAGCCTTGAGCTCGAAATGACAGATAATGTCTGCTCTCTGCCATCCTGGCCGAGGCTTGCTGCTAACAGCAACAGTGCAGTAGGCAATAGGAGTCCGTATTATCCGTATGACTACTCACAGATCTCCTAACCCACGGTGCCGTAGATGTCACTCGTTCGCTGTCCTGGTCGGTGTTGTCCTCGTAGGTGGTATCCTCGTTAGTGTCATTCATATACGATGCGTCACAATCTTCCACAATCCACGCTCCAAATCGATAATACACCACACCACCTCGAAGGTCGTGTCCAATACCATTCGGCTCGGTGGCGCTTGCTTTCGCTCGAGTGCGCTTCTCTTCCACAAGAAAAAAACAACACATAATGTACTGCTCCATATTGAACAACGGATGTGGTTTGACAGAACTTCCGATGCTTGCCGGGCTTAGCCATTCACCCGCAATGAGATCAACTGAGCAAGTTCGAATCCTCCACCGTATGCGTTCGTTTCTGCGCGGGACGTGCTGTAACTAATCAGATGGGCCTTTCGAGCTGTGATGTGCACGTTGGTTCCGCATCCAGCTGTACCAACTGAGAACCAAACGGGCCATCACTCCTGTGTTGTTGTCGGTCTGAGGTTCGCCCATCAAACTGCGCGATGTCCCTTCCTATGGAAATCCAGATCTTCTGGCATCTGTAATGGATGCCAAGCGGAGGCGGGGGTGCAGCTTACGAGAGTGCAGCCCGTCCAACGTAGTTGTAGTGATCGCTCACAGAAGTATCTGATTACAATTTTTCAGTCGTGTGATGGCATGTTTGATCCCCCTGCTTGCATTGCCACAGCGCCAAAGCAGAGGCCGATGCGAATCGGAGATACCCAAAGCAAGACACACAACAAAGAGCTGCAACAATATGGATGCCGTGGTGCACATGGAGAACCAGGTGCCACAAGGAATGCGTCGCACTCCTTCCCATGCGAAAACCCCGATTCCTCTTGACGTCTATAATGGAAGATAAGCCCAGCGTCGTGAAATGCATGGTGGCCGGCAAGGGGCATCAAAACCACATAGAAAGCCCCCGAACTTCGTTCCTTCGACTTGGGCCCGAGGTGAGGAATCAACTCAACTCTCCGATATACGTACTGAGGCTTGCTGCTATACAGAAAGCAAGCGTGCAATCGGCAATGAAAGTCAGTACAAGCCAAAACCGTTACTCCCCCTCCCCTCCCCCGTCCCCCGCTCCTGCGTCCTCCAACCTCCCCCCCTCCTTGCAAGCCCCCCCCCCTCCCTCGAAGGACGAGGGAGAGAGACGAAGCGGCAACCATAAAAGAACAATGAACAGCACACGGCATAAACAAAACTTTCGGAATTCGGCTCGGATTTCTTGGATCAGCACTGGGCCCCTTCACTGTCGCGCGGAGCGCGCCAGGGGCGACGCTGGACGCGCCACCAACGGTTGTCCAACGCAGATCCAAGATATCCGTGCGGAGCTCCGAAACTGTTTGTTTATCCTGATGTGTTCCACCAGTACATGGGATTGCGTGTGCCGAGACCTGAAATTTGCTTTGCTGGTGCGGATGCTGCCGTTGCTGTTCACCTGTTTCGTGCTTTCATGCTTGACGTCGACGTTTCTGTTTTGCTTTTGCTCAGCACGGGTCCATGTTGTCAGCTCGTCCGCCAATGTCGTCCTCCTCCTCCTCCTCCTCTTTGTCCTCCACCTCCTTTCCCCCTCCAACCTATGGTGGTGGTGGTGGTGGAAAAGAAGCCCATCTGTCGGGGTACCTTTCCGCTTCGATTCCCCCTCCCAGCGAGAGCCCCTCGGCCCCCCTTTGGCACCCGCGGCCTGGGGCCAATCGCGGGCACGGGGCCGCGCGCGCGGCCCGCAGCGGCAGCAGCAGCAGCGGCAGCGCCCGCGGCAGCGCCAGCGGCAGGGCACGGCGGCGCCCGGGCGGCATCGCCCAGCGGGGGCCCCTTGGCGGCGCGCACAAGGGGGCGGAGGGAGGGGGGAGGGCTTCTTAGAACGGGGCTGCTTCTTAGAAGGCGCCGGCCTGACATCTGTAGAGAAGGCCCGCGCCTGCTAAGGAGCAGGGGTGCTTCTGAGAAGCCCTCCCCCCTTCCCCTCACCCCCCTCTGCGCGTGGCTGAGCCTCGGCGGGGTCGCGGGCACTGGGCAGGTTTGCGCTGGATCGGATCGCGAAATCAGATCGGATCGAAAGCGGATCGAATCGCCAGCGAATCGTCCCGAATCGAATCGGCATCGAATCGCCGCGCCCCGCGTCCGACTGGCCCTTGCCGATGCCGGCGACTAGAGCTGGATCGCATCGAATCGGAGTCGTGGCCCCAGCCGGCGATCGTAGCTGGCGTCGCACTTTTTTTCGGGGAGCACATACTCACATCAACATATAAACTGTCGGAGGTGCGCGCGGGCTGCCTGGATCGGCGCTGGCCCCCCCCCCCCCCTGGCGCGCGGAACGCGCCAGGAACGGCGGAGGAGGCGCTGCCAAGGGGGCTCCAGCGCCGATTTTCGAGACATCCGCGCGGACCTTCGGAAAATTGTGTGGACGTCTAAACGGGAGACTGACACCGGGAAATGGACAACAGCATGTCGCGCCGGGACGTGGTGGGCCAGAACCGGCGGAGCGACAGGCTATCCAAAAATTCCCGACCGCAGCGCTCCGCTCTCCTCCTCCTCCTCCTCCTCCTCCTCCTCCTCCTCCTCCTCCCCTCCTCCTCCTCCTCCTCCTCCTCCTCCTCCTCTCTCCTCCTCCTCCTCCTCCTCCTCCCTCCTCTCTCCTCCTTCTCCTCCTCCTCCTCCTCCTCCTCCTCCCTCCCTCCCCCTCCCTCCTCTCCCTCCCTCCCCCTCCCTCCCTCCTCCCTCCCTCCCTCCCTCCCTCCCTCCCTCCCCCCCACTTCCGCGGGGGGAGCCCTGCGGGGAGAGGCGCACTCCTCCACCTCTTCCTCCTCCTCCTCCTCACCCTCCGCCCCCCTCCTCGTCCTCCTCCGCCCCCCTCCGCCCTCCTCGTCCTCCTCCTCCTCCTCCTCCTCTCCTCCTCCTCCTCCTCCTCCTACTCCTCCTACTTCTCCTCCTCCTCCTACTCATCCTCCCTCCCTCCCTCCCTCCCTCCCTCCCTCCCTCCCTCTCTCTTCCTTCCCTCCTCCTCCTCGCACCGCCAAGGCCGGACGTCGGATCTCTGGGGGCGCGGTGGCCTTTCTGATGGCGCGGGGGAGGGGGATCCGCGGTGCGGCGTGGCGCTGGGCGGAGCCGCCAGGAAGAGGAGGCAAAGACAAAAGCCGTCGGAGATGGACCCGTAGAGGGAAACAATTACTGAACACTCCCCCTCCCCCCCAAACTCAACGTGGGCACGCGTGGGGGAGACCGCGGTCGAAGTGCACGTCATCAGACCCACCGCAAACTTCGAACATTGGGGAGAGAGGGAGACGTTGACAGATGAATGTGGCATGAGTGTTCGCTACATTGGGGGGAGAGGGAGGCGTTGACATATTAATGTGGCATGAGTGTTCGCTAATTTGCTCCGAGGCCTGACAGAACCCCCCTTAGCAAAACCTGGTTTAGTGAAAACGACCTCGGACCCAAACTTGGCGGGCGCAAGCCTGGAAAGTGACGGCCGTGGCGCCCTCTCGACATCCGAAAACGGACAATTCACCAATCGACGTGTCAGGGTGGGGGTTCTGTCCACCCCCGAAGCCCTCGGGCAGACGGGGGCGGGACAGGAGGGGTACGGAGGAGGATGAATGGAGAAGGAAACGAGGGGGGGAGGGAGCGAAAGGGACGGAGGTGTGGGAATGGAGAGGAGGCGGGGAGGGGGGGAGAGAAAGGGACGGAGGGGGGGGAGGGGTAGGCGGAAGGGGCAGTACGCGGGGGCGAGGGAGGCAGGAGGATGCAGGGGAAAGAACGAGGCACATTGCTCGGTCTATGTTACTAGCTGTGTAGCCAAGCCGATCCACTCGTGATGGTACGCCTGGCGTATGATTGGCCCGAAAGACGATGTGATTGATATGCTCCGTTATGCGCACACGATCACGTCTTGGGCGCGGATGAGGGGAGGAACGTCGGAGGGTATGATACCCATAGGTGCTGGGCGCCGCTCGGAACGGCATCTTATCGACACACAACAGGGAGGGCGAGGAGGAGGGGCAGGAGGGAAACTGGGAGAGGTGCATGCCGCGTCGGACTGAAGGGGCCCGATGATGCGTGTGTGTATGTATGTGTGTGCGTGTGCGTGTGCGTGTGCGTGTGCGTGCGCGTGCGCGTGCGCGTGCGCGTGCGCGTGCGCGTGCGCGTGCGCGTGCGCGTGCGCGTGCGCGTGCGCGTGCGCACGGCGTGCGTGCGTGCGTGCGTGCGTGCGTGCGTGCGTGCGTGTGCGTGTGTGTGTGTGGTCGTGCGCGTGTGTGTGTGTGTGTGTGTGTGGTGTGTGTATGCGTTTGGCATCCCATCGCCAGCGCAGACGTACCCTGCCCAGCCGCCGACGCAAACGTGTGTGTGTGTGTTTGTAAGTGTATACGTGTCTGTGTGTGTGTTTGGCATCCCATCGCCATCGCAGACGTCCCCTGCCTAGCCGCCGACGCAAACATGTTTGTGTGCCTGTGTGTTTGTTCGTGCGTGCCTGTATGCGTCCAGCCATCCAGAAGCCTGACTACTTCCAGGCGGCCCGCCGGCGCGCCCAGGTGGTGCGATCCTGCCTCCCCGCCCTTGACCCCTCCCTCTGCACTGCCGAAGTCCTGCGGATCTTCCTCGGC